TAGGGAAGGGAAAGTGAACATAACGTGAAACAGTCGGCATTTGTGACAATGTCGATGACGGTGACGACTATGATAATAATATTAATGAGTGAATAAAAAATACACAAAGATCTATTTTAGAAACGTACACATATCGATTCGGTTTCTCAAGTGTTACTGTTATAAAAGAAAATGAAAACGTCAGAAATTAATGCGTGGCTTAAATTAATAGATAAAATAATTTAAGGATAATTTGTTTCACTAAAACGAAAAAAAAAACCACAAAATTTGTTGATTAAATGATTTTCTTTCTTTAATTTGAAATAATCTTTTGAAAATCAAGCGCTAAAGACGTAAATGACATGATCACATCATAAAAACATTCTACCTATTATTTAAATGAAATAAAAAAAAAAAAAAAAGAAAGAAAGCTATATAAATAAAATTAATTATATTAAAATAAATAAATTTTTCTCTAAATATTTGATTGATTTAGTAGGTTCCAAAATCATTCCATACAAACAAAAAAGAAACAAACAAACAAACAAACATACATACATACATACATACATACATACATACAAGCCAACAAACAAACAAACAAACAAACCCGATGAACGTCGATTTAAGAACAATTTAAAGTCGAAGTGCAAAGTTTAACATTGATGGGGGGCTTCCCGTTATAACTTTTACCGAGTTACAAGGGGCCCATTCAAAATGCAATTGATTTTTTTCTTCCATTAAGAAAGTAAGAGAAAGAAAGCGTGCGTGAATGTATGCGTGTCAGCGAGCGAGAAAAGAATAATCAAGATAAAGCATCACATAAAAGAAAAGGGAATGAACTCAGCGTGGCAGAAGCGACATAAACATTTTTTACATAGAAGTATGCTGCATAAAAACAAAGTAAAAAAGGCATAATTACGATTGCTAAAGGACAAGCTGGTCCCCGTAATACCAAAATACTTTATTATTTTTGTTTAATCTCATGATAAATAGAATAAAGGTATTGATAAGTCAAAACTGATTTTTTGCAAATTTTAAAACGAATAAAGGAACTCTTTTCAGGGCCAACTCGTCCTCGTGCATTCGTATGGTACGTAGAGACATTATGGAATTTTATTTTTTATTTTTCTTTCCTTCTTTTTTTCCCTTCGTTTTTCATGATTTTTTTCTTCATTTATTATTATTATTATTATTATTATTATTTTATTTTTTTTTTTTAATCTTATTCAAGATTATTAATACGTATAAATGCATCGATATATATATATATATATATATATATATATATATATATATATATATATATATATATATATAAAAAAGAGAGTATA